CAATCTTAACATCATTATTTAGCAGTAAGACATTAAGATGAATTTGTTTCTTGAAACTGTCCTTTTCGGTGATTATTTATTTAGAAGACCCATGATTCTAGGGCACTTAACAGGGGTGTCTAGTACATTACAACTAAATGAGCTTCTTTTTTCTCAAGGCTTTTGATCAAATCACCATGCACAATTTATATGAGGAAGTAAACAAGAGTGAGTCATGAAAGTGAAAGTTACCAGAGGCCAACAATGGAAGGTGTGTTTGAGGAACACATGCAGTTTACCTAGTGACTTTCCTATGACAGCCTGCTGGCACTGACAGTGGAGCTATTATTTATATGCATTCATTGTCTAATATATATATATATATATATGTGCATGCAGTACACATACATATATGTGCATGCAGTACATGTGATGTGTAGTTTTATTGTATTCATTACATTAGCCCTTTTCCAATAAAACATCAAGCATCAAGATCTAAACCTCTGTTCATTCTCAATAAGAGCTTCTCTAGACGTCTGACAGAAATAAAGTCAGTCTGGTTAGTAATGAGTGAAGCTACTGCTGCTGTTTGTGGAGTTGTTTAATCAGATCTTGAGAGATTTAATGTCTTATTTTATTTCAGTTGAAGTCATCTAAGGCCGTGGCTGGAAGTATATATAATCATATCTATTTAGTTATTTTTATTTATTTAGTTATTTTTTACCGTGCTACCTTACTCTGCTGTTAAATGTCACTAAGCACTTGCTGGGGGTTATGGAAGGTTAGATATGCATGCAACGTAAGGTGTGTAGCAATCGTTTCTGTATAGTGTCAAATACTGTGTTTTTTTATAGACATTGGTTTATAATGTTAGAGTTTACATATTTAATCTTCAATAATATTAGCAATATCATTGTTTGTGTGAGTTGGTCATTATGTATGTTTTTAGAAAGTTAGACTTTGAATTAATCATTAAATATCTGTTCCTGAATTCTGCTCCACTTTTAGGACTGGGGGGAACAATCATTATAATTGACGTCAATCAATCAGTAGCACTGTACAGCACTGCAGCAAGTGATTGGGCCACATAATGAACACTCAGAATTTAAACTGTGTGTGTGTGTGTGTGTGTGTGTGTGTGTGTGTGTGTATTAGTTAATCTGAGACCGGTGATACCAGTGGGACTGTCGTCCACAGCTGCAATGTTGATGATAATAAAACTTAATAAACACAGGCTTTTCTACATGCATGTGCCCAACCTATTTCTGCTGTCTAAAACTGTCTGGCCTAAACCTTCAAAATAATCATTGTAAATCTTAGCTGGACTTTGAAATGATGGTCTACTTTTATTTAACTCGGCCACACAATTCGTTATCATTGAAGTCAATCAAACAGTGCCAAAGTCTATTTGAATTAGTCTGAATCATTAAAGACAATTGATCGTATAGTGCAATGAAAAGCTATGTATTATATGTAGGGATCTTTCACTCACTGGTCTAGATTCTGTTTGTGGGCCAGTGATTCCTACATTTATATACGTCATGTAATTAAAACACAGAGGTTAAACATTAACTCAGACAAGCTGAAACCTGTTAGTGAAGCTTCAGTCATCTATAGCTGCACTGTAGATGCTAGACATTTTACAATATAACAACTTGAAGACTGGAGAGCAAGATCTGGCAAAATGGCTCTGAATCAGCAGCAACCCCCATTTATCAACCCAGTAAGTGACCAATATTATACATGCCTGCAATACTCTTTTCTTGCTGCAGTGCTGCCCAAAATATTATTGTGCTGGGCATTGCATGGTTAGACTTTGAATTAATCATTAAATATCTGTTCCTGAATTCTGCTCCACTTTTAGGACTGGGGGGAACAATTCATTATAATTGACGTCAATCAATCAGTAGCACTGTACAGCACTGCAGCAAGTGATTGGGCCACATAATGAACACTCAGAATTTAAACTGTGTGTGTGTGTGTGTGTGTGTGTGTGTGTGTATTAGTTAATCTGAGACCGGTGATACCAGTGGGACTGTCGTCCACAGCTGCAATGTTGATGATAATAAAACTTAATAAACACAGGCTTTTCTACATGCATGTGCCCAACCTATTTCTGCTGTCTAAAACTGTCTGGCCTAAACCTTCAAAATAATCATTGTAAATCTTAGCTGGACTTTGAAATGATGGTCTACTTTTATTTAACTCGGCCACACAATTCGTTATCATTGAAGTCAATCAAACAGTGCCAAAGTCTATTTGAATTAGTCTGAATCATTAAAGACAATTGATCGTATAGTGCAATGAAAAGCTATGTATTATATGTAGGGATCTTTCACTCACTGGTCTAGATTCTGTTTGTGGGCCAGTGATTCCTACATTTATATACGTCATGTAATTAAAACACAGAGGTTAAACATTAACTCAGACAAGCTGAAACCTGTTAGTGAAGCTTCAGTCATCTATAGCTGCACTGTAGATGCTAGACATTTTACAATATAACAACTTGAAGACTGGAGAGCAAGATCTGGCAAAATGGCTCTGAATCAGCAGCAACCCCCATTTATCAACCCAGTAAGTGACCAATATTATACATGCCTGCAATACTCTTTTCTTGCTGCAGTGCTGCCCAAAATATTATTGTGCTGGGCATTGCATGAATATTTATTCGTTACAGCTTTGTAACTGGATTGGAACAATTGTTTGCTACTTGGGCATGAGAATTTGCTCCATTAGTCTAGTCTGCATATTTCAGATGAGTTTAACCTTATATGAAACTCCCTTGAAACTCTTTCACTAATGCAGAGCTGAACCCCTAAATTAGTAAAGCTAAATTACTTTATTCCTGTGCAATCACAAGTTTCCTAAACCTGAATATATCTTAACAAGTTTTATTTGAGCTCATACAATTTGAGAAATTCCATGGCATTCGTTATCTTGTCTTTGTGTTTTCAATGGTTTTAGCCTGAACGTGTTTAGCTGATGTGGAAAAACGACATTTAGATTCCATTTCAGAAGTACAAGCCAAAAATTAAAGACTTTCCAAAATGCACAGAGACAGTAATGGGGTAAACCAAGGCTTAGCATTGTCAGTGTTGTTACAAGATGGAGGAATTTGATGAAATGGTTGGGTTTAAAGTGATACGACAAACCTGCAGAGTTTCTTCTCCACAGGTAAGCTACACTTGAAGTTAAAAGTTTTAGGTTGAACCTTTTATTGAAAGTAGCCTTTTATAGACCCGTAAGTGCTGTGTTTATGATGTCGCGTAACGAGTGAAACGGGTGTTTGCAATGTTTCTTTGAAAACATGCTTTATTTCTGTAGTTCCGCTAGATGACACTAGTAGCGCAGAAACTGGGTTGTGGCTAGAAGGGATACAGCTATGGCCGGAAAATAACAAATGAATTAAATTTGCCACCTATTAGACTGCGTTAATGTCTACACCTACCCCAACCCTAAACTTAACCTTACAATAATGCAAATGCAGTAATACATTGTTGTTCAGCGTGACCAAAATGATGCAATATTGATGTGCGCGTGTCAAGCTTTCGCAGGATGTCCAGTGTGCATACGTCACTCAAGGGCCATTTACTAAACTGTCTCGCATTTGTAGTTAAAAATTATATAATTTCTTGTTATTTTTAACAACAATTTGAGACCAATATAATTTAACACACTTGCGAGTGCATTTTGAACAGGGACTTGGGTGCGTAGACCCATAGAAAATATTGTTTTTGAAATTTAAAGTCATAGCGTGACACTTTTCATTCAGTGTGTGAACAACATTATGCCCCTCTGTCTCTTCCCTTCAACCCATCTGGGCCCCACTTTCTTTTTTGATACATTCTGTGATCCATGAGGGAAAAAAACACTGGAATTGTTGCCATTTTCTTTAATAATGGCGGCATAAAATGATTGCAAACAAGTATGAGGATGAACAAGCACTCATTTTATCTGATGACTGGTATGAAAATCTTTCACACAGGTTGTCCCATTCAGTTGTATGATCAGAGGAGGACTACAAGATGGGATGAGTATCACTGTATGTGGACGGGTTTTGCTGAATGCAGACAGGTGAGAATTAGTCTGCTTTATATGCGCTTTATTTTGTTTATCTTATTAACCTAATTAATGATGATGCTTTTTTTTTTCATTTTCAGGTGAACTTTCCCCAAAAATATAACTTTTATGTCTTATTACACTGTAAAAAAAAAAAGATAATTATTGCATTACAAAAGGTACAAAACAGATTGTACACCTTTTGTAATGCACTGACAACCACCAAAAACACAGGAAATAAGAAAACCACATGATGAATCAAAGTTCACGATATCTTACAATATCTCAAAGTTCACAACATCACAATAGCTTTTCCACAAGCTGAGAAACACACTAATATATAGAAACACCACAGTGTTATATACACATACAAATATACAAAACACCATGAGAACACACATGAGACTAAAACAATGCAATAAACATTCTGTAACATAAGATGTAACACACATGTGCATTACCGATAACAACAACAACAAAAATAGAATTAATGAAATGCCATCAAATGTGAAATGCCACACATCACAAGATATTTTCGTAAAGCAAGTTGACGATTTCTCACTGCAAGTTATACGATGAATAGTTATTTTTCACTTCCACAAACTGTAATTGTATCAGTGTCTTACTGAAATGTCCCATTACATCTATTACAGTTTTTACACTGTTTAGAGTAAGGGAACTTAATGTTAATCAACAGGGTTTTTTTAAATGTAGTCTTTTACTGTAAAAAAAAAAAGATATATACATATAACATTTTTTTTTTTATAGTGTACGTTACAGCTGTTATTCTCCTCCTCTCTATTGCATCTTCTCCAGATTTAACGTAAACCTCCAACAAGGGGCTGAGGTTGTTGCTCTGCAAGTTAACCCTCGCTATCAGATGCTCTGGATTGGCCCTGGGTACGTTGTGCACAACACCCACCAGAATGGGACGTGGGGCTGGGAGGAACGCAAGTTTGAAACGCCCTTCCCGAGAGGCCAGACGTTTTCTTTGCAGATCCTCGTCACGCAGGAGTCTTACAAGGTGACTTCAACTTTGATTTTCTCTCTGTAAATAATTGATTGTTTCCCTTTTTTTCAGGTATGGAAAAAAACAATCTTTCCATCAACTGTCACTAAAAGGCCTTTTTTACTGTAGCAGAATAACGACAATGGTTTTGGCCTTTAGATACTCGCCAATGGGAAACCTTTTTCGGAGTACAAGCACCGTATGCCGTTCTCAGATGTGGATCGCATCTGCGTGGTTGGAACGGTGGAACTGAGTTTAGTTACCTTCCACTCTCTTGCGGTGAGAAATGACAAGAAATGCATAAAAAAAATCACAAATACTTTCTAATCACGTGTCCAATTAAAATACAAAAAATATGATGTGAGAAATATTTTAAAGTAATATGTCATTTGAAAATCAAAACTACATACAAAATGATCTGTTATGTGTGTCTGAGAAAGTAAAGTGTCTGTGTAATTAGAAAATGTTCATGATCTAAAACAACATGTAGAAAAATACAATATGCACTGTTGCTGATTTTCCTAATTTGATTCTGTTTCCCCATTTAAACTGGGATCAAATGAAATACCAGTGCCCCTCATGCTGAGTTCAGCTGGTATCACCGTACTCTGTGGCAAGGCTAATATAGGAAGAAGGTAGATACGTTAGCTAACATTAGCTGACAAACTAATGTCTTTCGAAAGCTAGAATGTAAATTCACAAGTTCAGCTATTTACTAATTGCTCTATTCTTCTCTCCTTTAATGACATTCAGTGAGCAATATCTGACAATATATTTTACTACAGGTCATAATTTACAATTTTTTTAAAGCTTGAAGTTGGTCACTATTCACTGTCATTATAGGGATGAGTGCAAGCAGGACTTTTTATTTTATTTATTTCTTCTTGTATGGTCTGAAAATGAAAGATCACAATATAATCTATTGCACAGACATTCTAATACTCTAATATTGTTAATGATGGAGTAGCTATTGAGCTGTCTTACGAATGTCACCTATAGCCAGACCCGCCACTCACTTCAGGGAATATATTTTCTATGATATATAGAATGGCACACATAATTGTATTTGTTTTATTTCGAATTCTACTAAACGTGTTCCTGTCCTAAATATCTATATTTCTTTTACAGCCTCGTCATGCAGCACTTCCAGGATCTTTGGTAAGTTATTATAAATATTTGGCAGACAAACAATCTCCACACATCTTTAATGATGCATTATGACGGTCTAGATGTGTTTAGATGTGTTTAGAATCTCTGTGACAATTTCATGACCTATAAATTTTCGGTCACACTTACTTGTGATTCAAGATAAAGACATTTTGGAGAAATGGCTTCTTTTGGCCAGTTTTATATAGAGCTCTACATGATGTTGAATATTATCACAAAACAAGGGTCAATTAAAAACAGATTTGAAATTTTCAGTCGTTAAATACTGATTGGTTTAAATATCTTATTATGACTTTTTTTTTCAAAGCATATTGGAATGTATGTTTTTTAAAGCTTGACAACAGACTAAATACTTAATATAGACAGTATCACATTGCGATATATTATTACTTTGGCTCAATCAGACAGTCCCGTACAAAAGCATCATCTATGATGGAGTACAGCCTGCAAAATGCATCATCATCCAAGGAGTCATCACCCCACAAGCAAAACGGTTTGACAATATCACTTCAGCCTTCATTTTTTATTTTTTTCCCTTGAATATTCTCTAATACTATTAGAATGTCACATCTTCCTGATCAATAAAGTGAGATCGTCCTTTAATTATTTATTTATTTTTCATAAAATTTCCTCTCATTTTCTTTCACCAACAGAGTCGAGTTTAGTCTACGGCACAGAACTGGAATTGCATTTTACTACAGTCTTTGTTTTGATGAGAATGTGGTTGTGTGCAACAGCTATGAGGATGGGACATGGGGAAATGAGGAGCAATCTGGACTCAAGCTGTTTGAGAGAGGGCAGCCTTTTCAGGTAGTCATATACAGTATGTGTCTTTATAATTCCTGTACATACCCTTTCTGTTCAAATGGACAATGTGTACATGACTGTACAATAGAGGTTGAGGGTGGAGGGGGGGGGGTATTCTTTTATACAAAACAATCTATAATGGTTCATTAGATGGCACATTTCATATCACAGACAGCAAGCAACCATTGCCATCCATCAAAATGTAAAGTGAGTGTTGATGCATCAGTGTTAATTGCATTAATTTAACATTATGTTGTGATGTTGTGTCAGTATCACTTTTGCATCCTCAGTTGTTGAAACAATATTGAAATGTCAATAAAAAAAATCAATGGCAGTATTATTGCATCAACATTACAAACTGATGTTGTCGATGATAAAATATAGTTTTCTCATACCCAAAGCATATGAATGATGTCACCTAAGAGCAAGTCAACCGTCAACTGGCATGCAAACAAAATAACAGAACTATAATTTTAGTATCATTGAAGTATGTTTATATTTAATGCATTTATCTGAAATTATTAATGCTTCAATATCTCTTACATACTAGAAACACTGAAATGTCAGTCTCAACCGAGATGATGGTATGGATGAAAACCTAACCATGCATCATCCTCAGAAAATGTATACAAACTCAACAAATTCATTTAGTGGATTTGCATTTTTCCCCTTCATTTAGAAATTAACAATGCAATCACACTCACACTTATATATTTGCATTGATTTAAGTTGATGTTTCCAATAAATAAGAGTTCAAATCGAGGATTCTAAAGATTCGGTTTGTTCGCTTATAAATGATTTCACATTTTTGACTTGTATGTGTATTTCAGGTCACCATTTGTTGCAGTCCTGATAATTACAAGATGTTTGTCAATGGTGAAAAAGCTTGCACTTACAGCCATCGCTACACTAAACTGGAGGAGATTGATGTTTTGGAAGTTAGTGGAGACGTGCAGCTGAGCTTTGTGCAGCCCTGACAAAGAATCCATACAGGTCTATGAGGAATAGGTTCAAAACCTGCATAAATGAAAGAAAGAAACATGCAATGATCTGTGTATTCATATGCAAATATATTTTGCTTGCATGCATATTAATCTGATACCCATGCGATTGAATGTCCACAGCAGCAGCGCTGTAAAAATAAGTGTTCATGCTGCCTTAAAATTGTATGTCTAGTCTACTTGTAATGTGTCATTGTACTAAGTGAAACTATGATTAAAGGGATAGTTCCCCCCAAACTTCCCCTCATGTCATTTCAAATGCCATAAGACCTTTGTTCATCTTCAGAACACAAATTAAGATACATTTGATGAAATCCGAGAGCTTTCTGACCCTCCATAGACAGCAACACAACTGAAACACATGCGTGTGCATTCCTCTGCTTGCAAACAAGCCACAGCGCATTGCCCCTTAATAACGGATAATAACATTTCAGTTGTGTTGCTGTCTATGAAGGGTCAGAAAGCTCTCGGATTTCATCAAATATATCTTAATTTGTGTTCTGAAGATGAACGAAGGTCTTATGGCATTTGAAATGACATGAGGGGAAGTAATTAATGACAGAATTTTACATTTTTTTGGGTGAACTATCTCTTTAAGATCTCTCATTCTAATGCTACTTTTCAAGTTATGATAGCTAACTGTAACAATCATTTTTACAATGAATCATTTAAAATGAATAAACAAAGTGTTCTGTGTGGGTGGGTCCAGCCTATTTTAAATATGCCTACAAACACATTGTTTTTAGATTGCACAATAATAATAATAATACTTGTGTGAAACAACAGAGATGCTAAACATGACTAACATTTATGTATACATTTTTGTCCCTCCTTTATTATTTTGAGTGCAGCTGATCCACCCACATGTGTAAAGCTAGCACACATTCAAAAGTTTATGATCACGAGGATCACAAATCATGCTATAAACTTTCATAAGAGCACTAGACACAATTATTGTAGTTATGTATTGTTGCATTAAACAACTGATACAATTATCCACCCTTAAATAAAGTATTAACACATTTTGATGCAATAAATAGGGTATGATTTACTGTTAAAATAATCATCCCTCCAAAACAGAGAAAACATCCTTCACAAACATCTACAGGTCTGTCTCCTTTAAAGTGTTTATAGTGTGTATATAATGAGTTGTATTTGTAGGGGTTATTATATCAATTCTTTAACACCAATTCCCCCAAAAATAAAAGCACTTATGCTACATTGATTCTTAATATAATACATTTTTTCTGACTTTATTTTTTATAGATTTTTTCAGGTTTTGCTCTGCCAAGCTATCCAGGCAGGATCTGGATTCATAGTGTCCTCTTGTGGTGGGAAATGTGGCTGAATAAAATGTTTGCAGGACATGTTCTTATAACACAATTCTTTAACACCAATCCCCCCAAAAATAAAAGCACTTACTGTATGCTACTTTGATTCTTATTATAATACATTTTTTCTGACTTTATTTTTTTATAGATTTTTCAGGTTTTGCTCTGCCAAGCTATCCAGGCAGGATCTGGATTCATAGTGTCCTCTTGTGGTGGGAAATGTGGCTGAATAAAATGTTTGCAGGACATGTTGCTGGGAAACAAGAATTGAAGTTAGAAAATCTCAGAAAACTGTAAGAGAACAATGATAAATAAATAAATAAATCAAACAAAACAAAGATTGCAGGCTTTTCCATATTTTGTCTGAGTTATGTCTAAAATGTTTGCCTGCACACTGTGAAAAACATTGTATATATATATATATATGATTTACTTTGAAATAATTTTCACTCAGGAATTGCTAGTCAATTTCACAAATAATTACCACAAAGAAAAAAAGAAAGAAAGTGTTCTTTCCGAAAACATTTTTTTCCAATATTCTTTGTTTTGTTTACAACTTAGACATATTTTTTGACTGTGCATTTCGCAACATCAGTAACTCCTACAGACATCAGTGACTCTCCAGATGTAGTTCAGTGTGTTTGTTGAACAGGTTTAAGGTGTGCTGAAGGGTGGAGCACAGAAACATCTCAAAAACAGAAATCAGTGACGTCTGATATTCAGCAGCTTTGTGTTTTATTTCATTCTGTGGCTGAAATGACCGCTCAGAAATGACAACATTTACTATAAAGATGAACTCAAGGACCAAAATGTGAAATTTTCGTTTTCATTGCTGTTTGTGAAAAAAAGAAGGAAAAACCGGCCACTTTCAGTTACTGATGATACAACTGACTGACAAATAAAAAAAAATAAAATCTGAATTAAAGCATCGTCAAATATGGTTTAAAAAACACATAACAAAATCATTGAAATAAAAGTGTGTCAGAAAGCCTTTCATTCACACGTCACAGTGTTAGTCTTCATTGTCATCAGTTCATCACAATAGAGGGAGTTTCAGTGTCACAACAGCTCGAGCTCAAATCCCTTCATTCTCTCGCTGGATTCACACTGAGACTGGGAAACTTACAGATATCAGCCAAACCAACACAGCGTGATGAACCCAGAACACACAGGTATGTTTGAATTGATATGATATAATAGCAAACCGATACGATAATCACTGTAGAGCATGCTAGATAAACTTACACAACAAAACCTGTTTAACTAGATTGTAGTTGATCTCAATGACTATCATGTGTTTAACACACTGTTAACACGGGTGATTTCTGAATATATACTGTATATATCTTCACATAAACAATAAAACATGATCCAAATGTGTCTATATTTGCACCAATGGTTTAGTTAGTAGATAGTAGTGAATAGTAGACTAAAAGTACAAATGTATATAGACAACACAAATACGTGTGTGCTGTCAAGTTATCATGTTTGTGATCTGTTATTGTAGTTATTATGTTTCAGATACAATCAATGTGTTTTTTAATGTGTCACTTCAGGTTGATATTGTGATCAAATTGTCAAATTGATCAACACATTTGGACAACTTTTTTTTTTGTCTCAAAGTTTACAAGAGCCAATTTACTTGTTATCACATATTCTGTGAATGATTCATTGTGTTGTTCTAAAGAAAAAAAAATATATATATATAATTACTTCACTTTTGTACTGTCGTGTCATCTGATATTACTGTACATGGGCCATAATGTACTGCCATATTTCCTCTTGATTTTTATTTTAATAATATATGATAGTACATTTCCTTGTGTTTCTTTTTTGTTTGTTTGTTTAGTTTAGTTCCTCATGCATTGTTTGTGGATTATATGATATTTAGGTATTTAAGACACTGTCTCTTTAAGAGAACACACCTACTTGGAAGCTTATTGGCATCTTTTATTGGTATCATACTGTTTTTTGTTTGTTTGTTTGTTTTTTTGGATAGTGTTGACTACATTTGAACATTATATATATATATATATATTTATTTATTTAAAAAATTTATTTTTTTATTTTTTTTGTTTTCACCAAACCCAGTCAACACTTTCTCTAACCTTATAACAACTGTAGTCCAATTACCTGTTTTGCTTTATTGCATAACACACTTTTCATGATCCAAACCATTACTGTTTTCTATTGTACTACCTTATGTTACCTGTAATATTTATTAAATAATCACACCGAATATTTAGTCCACAAACTTCTTCTGATGATTATTTCTCATTATTTCCCAGAGTCCGATGAACCACCTGCTGATCAAGAGCTGAGGATGGTGTTGTTTGGAAGAAGTGAAGCTGGAAAGAGTTCAATAGGCAATGTAATACTGGGTCGAGAGGCGTTTAAAGAGAGCAGAACCCGAGAGAGTGAGAAACAGACAGGAAGAGTAGAAGACAGAAACATCTCCATCATCGACACGCCAGGTTTCTTCAACACTCAACTGACTGATGAAGAGATGAAGAATGAAATGATGAAGAGTCTGTATCTCTCTGATCCTGGTCCTCACGTGTTCCTGCTCGTCATCAGACTCGACAGATTCATCGAAGACGTGGTGAAGATCGTAAAAAAGATTTATGAGCACTTTGGAAAGGACGCTTTCAGGTTCACCATGGTGCTGTTCACGGGAAGAGAGGCGATGTCCAAACGAGAGTGGATCGAGTTCAGGCTGGACAGAAAAACTCGAGAACTGCTGAGCTTCTGTGAAGAGAAGTGTCACGTGATCATTCATAAAAACAAGAGAGACAGGAAGCAGATCGCGAGCCTGTTGGAGAACATTGATGAAGTGGTGAGGAAGAACGGACGAGAACATTATACTAAAGAGATCTACGTGAAGAACAGTCAAGATGAGACGAGGACGAAACGAAGAGATGGAAAAGAGAAGATCAGTCTAGACGCGCAAATAACAAGCCAAGAGAAAGAGAAGAACAGAGAAGAAGACAACAGAGCAGAGGAACAGATCAGAGATGAAGAAACAGAAAACAGTGTTCAGAAAGACCAAAGAGCAACAAATGAGAGAGAAAAAGGCTCTCCAGAAGGAAATCACAGCGACCAAACACATGAAACAAGTTTGATCGGGCAGGAGATGAAAACGACACCAGAACATAATTCAATAAACGGTCAATATTTAGCTGTTTATAACATGTAACTTGATCAATTACTCCACTGTTTATTGACATATGTTGTTAAGTTAACTAACTTTATTTCTTCACAGTGTCTGATTTGAGGATTGTTCTTCTGGGTAAAAGTGGATCAGGAAAGAGCTCCACAGCGAACACCATCCTGGCCAGAGATGCGTTCACAACCAACACGAGTCTCCCATCAAGCAGTCAAACCTGTGAGAAACAAGAAGCACATGATTTAAACAACTTAGTTTTAACATTTCCCTGAAGAATCATATTTTTCATGCACTGGACGTCCACCTATTATTCAGTCCGCTGATGTCACCAGTTTCAAGGTTTTAGTGTAAATGATAAATGTCATTGGACAGTGTATTGAGAGTTAGCATTGATTTGACCTGTTAAAACATTTATTCTATAGTCTGGTAGATATTGTTTGTGTAAAGTTGCTTCTAAGCGTTTACAGTTGGTGGAGGAACTAAAGGGGTATGGGGATGGAGGCTGCGCAGAAGTCCAAGAAATCCCATACGTCATTCACATGGTGCTTCACCATGGTGTTGCCATGAGTCTGCTGAAGTTACGCTTGCAAGAATATAATTCTTCTTTTGGGTGGAGTCTTGTTGGTCTCTGGCAGATCCGGTTCTCATGAGTGTCACTGAGGGTGACTCACCCGTTCATTTTACCTCACTCGTTCTTAACCTGTTCTCATGGGAAAAAAAATACTCTGTGTACTTGCAATTCTGGCAAACCTGAAATAGGCTACATTGCTGCAGGTACTTCAGCTTCTAGAAGGAATCTATTTTTGTTGGTAAACTCATTCTTCTCTCATTACTCCTCCATCTGAACTAGGCTATATATATCAAACCAGTTTGGTCAGTTTATAAGTATGTATTGTATGTGATTGCAAGAGATTTGCATCACAATTGTAAAATATTTATAGATACAAAATGTCTCCAGTTCATATATTCATTCCTTTAAGTTTGTTTATAAGGAGACCTATAAATTGTAGTTTAGGTTTAAATATTAATACTAATTTTATTTAATTTTTGTATTTTGTTTGCATTCAAACGTTAACCAGTTCTAGGATGCTACACATGCATGGCTCATGCTTGTATTTTGAAGTTGTAATCTGTTAATATGTGCATGTATTGCATGTGTGAATATGACGTTTGAACCCCTTTATGCCATCGATAAACTCCATAAGGCTACTACTGTAGTTTCTGTTTCAGTTTATTTATTTATCCCCATAGGGAAAGTACATTTGCAGCATACACTCACACACACATTTAACAATTCACATTTGGTATATATAAATGTAAACAATAATTTAACACTAATAAATCTAATTTAAAATAACAAGTCTAGCTAACCATCAGTTACCACTAGAGGAAGAAAAATGTAAGAAATTAATTGCTTGGGGAACAAAAGATAATTTTGACCTGCTTTTCGAGCTTCTGGGAACACAATATCGTCGGTAAGAAGGTAACAATTTAAAAGTAGAAGATAAAGGATGCCTCTTATCATTCACAATGATGTTAGCCTTAATTCAACACTCTTTCTTTATATATACTCCCTATGCTCTGAAACTCTTAAACGTTTGAACTGCTGCATGTTAGATGTGACCCAAGCATCACAAAGTGTCAAAGAAACTAAAAGACGAGATTAACATTTCTGTTTCAGACATTTATAGGATGACAAAGATACAATGTTACATACAACAGCACTAGACAAACTCAAGAAGAAAGCAAACATGAAGGTATTTAAATACAATGGTTGCACTATATAAAAAAGACAATAAAAGACACAACAAAACAAAACAGGGATAAAACACAAAGAACCACAAAACTGTGTATGAGGTCATGTGCATGTATAGCGTTTATATAAATAAGCTACAGTGTGAGACAACTGAAGTTTAGTGCATTTGAGAAAACTGTGAAGCTAAATGTTACAGTTGTTTTATTATTATTAAAGATTATTTGTTTCAGAAAATGAAAAAGTACTGATGTAGCAGGAACAAGGTAGCCCATTATAAATGACTAGCTTGTGACATAAACACACTCATTACATTATTTAGTATTATTTACATTGTAAATCAATGAACCATTAAATATTGATAGGTCCTGACTTTTTTTCTCCTTAATGCATAGGTAGGTACACCTTGGTTAGATCGTTTCACCAGTTTTCTGCTTAAAATAACAGTTGGTGGCTTAAATATGTAAAACTGAAGTAAACCAGTAAGGCAAAACTGATTAAAAACTGCTCAGAATGACCACTGTAGCAATAATTAGAGTCAGGTATGGTCCTCTTTTTAATGGGTTTTATTGAATTTCACAACCACCTGTATCATCTTGTCTTTTAAAGATGTTTTGTCTGGTGTAGTGCCTCCCTCCGTTTCTCTGTACCATTTCATCAATCTTCTCCAGCAGCTTTGTGACCTGACCTTGATTGTTTCTGTCCTTGTTGTTTAATGCGTGATATCTGCCACCACAGCTGTCTATCAGTGATTTTAGGTCCTTGATTTTTTTGATATACTCATTCAGAGGTTCATCAATCACTGCATCCAGCAAATCAGCATGAGTGACAAGAACGACAGTGTGATTTAAAGCATCTTTTTCAAGGTTCTCCTGGAACCATTTGACTGGGTTCTTTTCCACACTTGCCAATCCTTCCATGCCGATCACCAGCAGAAACACGTGCGGACCAGGAGCAGACATTTCTAAGCTTTTCTCAACATCAGACTCATTATGATCTTGAATGTGCCTGAATAAGAATGGATCTAACAGTCCTGGAGTGTCTATTATTGAGATGGTCCTTCCATACACCACTGCTTCTTGTTTCTCACAGCTCCTGGTGGTTGTCATAAAACTCGAACTGAACACATTTCTGCCCAGGATGGTGTTTCCTGTTGCACTCTTACCTGCTGTAAGAAAACCCAGCAGCACAATCCTCAGATCTGTTAGTTAGAGAGATATATGAGGTTATTAAGAATTTGAAAAGGCTGGGTCCTCTGCCAGTATGAAATTTAGCAGTGAAACCTATAATGCACAGTCAGACAAAACATCCCATTTACTTCAGTTTAAAAGAGGCTCCCATGTGATTTACTAATGCATGACTTCAGCTAACTCACGTAACATGCAGAACCACAAGAACGTCTCTGACATGTAAGGAATGAAATCATGAATTGTTTGCCATTTACCTTGTTTTGACAGATTGTTGTGTGCCATTTCTCTCACTTGTGACAATCTCAGAGCCATCTCACTCATCTCGAGACCCATCATGAGTGTTAAGAGTTCATCTGTTTCTCTTGTCAGATCATGTAAGTTCTTCTTTGTGTCCTCTTGACTATTGTCATGTCTCATCTTCTCTTGTTTCTTCTTTCGGCTCTTCTCATTGGCGTAATGTTCTCCTCCATTGTCTTTAATCAGTTGTTCGATCTTCTCCAGCAGTTCTGTGGCCTGATTTTGGTTGTTTCTGTGCTGATTGTTGAATGAGTGAAATCTGCCACCACAGCTGTCCATCAGCAACTGTAGATCAGGGCTTTTTCTGATATACTGATCCAATGATTCATCCTTCAGCAAATCCACATGAGTGAACACAACAAAAGTGTGACGTACTGCGTCTTCTCCAAAGTTCATCTGAATCCATTTTACTGTGTTTTTCTCCTCCTCGGTGTATATCCCATTCAGTCTGATGACCAGCAGAAACACATGAGGACCAGGAGCAGACATTTCTAAGCATTTATTAATATCACGCTTGAGTTCATCCTGAAAGTGCTTGTACCACGGAGCATCTAACCATCCAGGAGTGTCAATGATTGAGATATTCCTTCCAGAAACTACTGCATCTTGTTTCTCACAGGTTAAAGTATCAGATTGTGCCTCCGCTCTAAACGCATTTCTACTCATGATGGTGTTTGCTGTTGCAGTCTTTCCCACATCAGATTTACCAAGAATCATGATCCTCAAATCTGCTGAAATTAGAGATAATATTATGTTGCTGTGCCAAACTGCTGAAATGTCAATGTGGAAACATTTGGTTACTTTGGTATACGACCCATCAAGACTTTAGTTGTCAGGCGCTGATCAAGAATTACACACGATATATGCAAAGCTATTTATTAAACACGAAGAAGATCTAAGGAACAGATGATTAACTGAATCAGAACTGGTGAGAACTAATTAGGGACTTTGGAAATTAACGAGGGAGTAATCAGAAACTATGACAACTAAAGATGACTAAGAACACAACAGGGGAACAAGGAAAACGTCTCCAGGTTACACATGTAACCATGGTTCCCCCAAAGGGAATGAGATGCTACGTCGAAACGCTACGGGAACGCCTTCAGCATGACCACACTCTGAATCACATGTGTAATCAGTCCAATGGATGGGCGAGACGTCACGGGCGGGGTGACATAACGACCAGGACGCTTAAAAGCACGTGCGGTGGAACCGGCGTCAGCTTCTAGGAATGAAGCAAGTGCTGACAGGGATGCCGGAAGTATGGCCCTGAGACGCAGCGTCTCATTCCCTTTGGGGAATACTATGCCCGGCCAGAACGGGGCTACTAACAACAGACAGGCCCTGTCCCGGCGCACTCTCTCCAGAACTCCCGGGAGCAAAGCGATCGGTTGAAAAGACTATCCAGCGAGAATGATGGTCCGCAGAACCGCCTTCCGCTAGAAACCTTTGGCCTGGGAGAGCCACTCTGACTCTAGACTCTGCGGAGTACGAGAAGTGACGCCCCCAGAATGAGGACCTGGAACACGGTAGGTTGGGACTGCTCCCGCCCAGCAGCCCCTGCTGACCGCCTCAACCTCCTCAGAGGAAGAGAGGTAAACACGTGCTCTTGCTCGAGGAATTTTTAACCCAAGAGCCCCTGTATATCCAACTTCTCATAGTCAGATAAATACTTAATTTTATTCCTCAGAATTAAATGCAGTCAAACAACCAAATGAGTAAACACGGTCTGGTCTGGTAAGATTCACATCAAAAACTGAAAATGATGTAATTCACGCATTGGTTACACAAAAAATAGTAATCTCCTCTGAGAAAAATAGCTGCAGCAGAGAGCTCTCACTCAGAGGGGGAAGAAATCACAGCTTCTGAGTCTCGACAACGAGCTCAACATGAGCTCCCTCGAGAGCTGACTCTATGTGGTTCGCTCCCAAACAGACAACACACAAACTGTGTGTGCCCCCACCCGGAATATAACACGGGCAGGGAGGAACACACAGCCTGAACGCTGCCTGCTTGCCCAAATGCTTCTTTTGACTAAAGCTTTGACATAATGGAGCTTATAAGTGGACAAACAACACTAAATAAGACTCACAAACAGATAGCGACTGACACACACACAGCGCACTTGCTGAACGACAGAAAAGCTGATGCCGGTTCCACCGCACGTGCTTTTAAGCTTCCTGGTAGTTACGGCACCCCGCCAATGACATCTCGCCCATCCATTGGACTGATTACACATGTGATTCAGAGTGTGGTCACGCTGAAGGCGTTCCCGTAGCGTTTCGACGCAGCTCAAGTTCCTGAAGGGGAATCTCTGGGTTTCAGCGCACTGATTGTGAAACCTTTATTTATTCAACTTAACAATGAAGGCTTTCAAATACTGAGTAAATGTCCCCTTCGCATTTTTGGAACATGAAAATGTAAAAAAATTAACCACAAGTGGTTCAATAGTTACCTGGTCTTGATGGATTTTCTTGTGTCATTTCTCTTTCTAGTTTCCATCTACATCTTTCTTTCTCTCTCCGACTTTCCATCTGTCTCCTGAGATTTTCCTGAACAGCAGATTCGTTTTCTCTAAGATATCGGGTTTTCTTCTTACTCACATTATCTTTTTTCCTCTCATTGTCATCTTTTATTCCCTGCTCTTTGCTTCTTATTGTTATGTCCCCCTTTTGATTTATCCCTCCTTTCTGCTTCCATGTATCGCTATCTTCCTGTATTTTCTTCACCTCCATGTGTATTTTCCTCACCTGCTCGTGTTTCATTCTCTCTTCTTCTTGTTTTAGTCTCTTTTCTGCTTGTTTAATTCTCTCTTTCTGCTCTCTGAGTTTTCTCTGATTCTTCAGGTAGATCTCATTGCTGTAGTTTTGTCCTCCATTACTCTTCACCATTTCATCAATATTCTTCAGGAGCTTTATGATCTGGCTGGAATCACATTCACTTTTGCTGTTTATCACATGAAATCTTCCCTCAAAATAGTTCAGTATTTTCTGTGTTTCTTCACTTGCAATGATTTGATTAAATTCTCTTCTGGATACTTTTTCTCGTCCAATAAACAGCACCATTGTGAACAGCAACGCTTCCTCTCCAAAGTTCTCCTGAATTTGCTCCACGAGGTTCCTCTGCTCCTCTCTGAAGGTCTCCAGGTTGATGACGAGCAGGAACACGTGAGGACCCGGATAACAGAGGTACATACTCTTCATCATTTCATTCTTCATCTCTTCATCAGTCAGTTGAGTGTTGAAGAATCCTGGCGTGTCGATGATGGAGATGTTTCTGTCTTCTACTCTTCCTGTCTGTTTCTCACTCTCTCGGGTTCTGCTCTCTTTAAACGCCTCTCGACCCAATATTCAATTTGCTGTTGGACTCTTTCCAGCTTCAGAGGCTCCCAATAACACAATCCTCAGATCCTGTGAATCACGTTCTTCATCAGACTCTGTGAAACAGACATTAGCACTCTTATGAGTGAATGCTTCTCTTGTGACTGATTGTAGTATTTATGTAACAGTATGTATGTATGTTTGTATGTATGTATTTATTTATTTATTCAGTCCAAACCATTAATCATCTAGCTCCACATTTCATTTTGTTTTGTCAAACTTTGTCCTGGGTGAGTAGTGAATTCTGGGTATTCAAACGTTTTCAGCATTCAGAATATTTAACACTGTAAACTGTGACCAATCTACACAAATTCAGCATTCCAACTGTTTACAAGTTGTAAAGCGGTTAAAGCAACTGTGACTTTAGAGCCACCTACAGTTAAGTTAGTGAAATTCACTGTTGTAACAAGGCTAAGGTGAAAAACGCCCATTTGAGAATTTAAAAGAACATTTTTTCAATTTTTTTAATAAAACACAAATAGTTATTTTGCATACTGCTTAAGCTGTGAATCTGTTTTAAAAATCATGTATACAGTTTTATTAATGTTCATAGTGTTGCATTGTCATGGCAGAGTTATAAAATATGATATAACTTTACAAGCAATTCATTTTTTTACACTAAAACCATGTTGATGCACATATTGTTTATATCTTGTGTCTATAAATTAAATGTTCCCTATTCAGTTCTATTGTTTATGTGTTTTAAAAAACGAGGGACAAGTGGACATTTTTGTGTTACAACAATATGCCACAAATGCTATCGATCTTGTCCTGAACTTGAAATATTCCTTTAAAGTTTTATTTATTTATTATTTTATTATTATTATTATTATTATTATTATTTGACAAGTTGATTTGACACAGAAAAAAATAAATAAATCCAAGGAAGATTTTCCAAGACAAATTGCAAACAAATTGTGAACGCTGTTTCTAATAAATATTAAGGCATTATTAAATTAGTTAATAAATTGCCATATTTAAAGTGATAAAACTCATGATAAATGTCTGTTGCAATGTTTAATGAATCAGGAGTGTTAGATAAAGATGATACTGACAACATATTTGCATACACTTCACAAGACACAATGTTTTCTAAAGGGCGCTTAATATTCTATCTTTTATATTTGTTTACATTCTGTGAGGGGTTTATAAAATTAGGAGACAAAGGGGGCATTTGCAAACTTCTGCATTCAGCTGTTTGGTTCAAGAGGAGAAACATAATTGCATGCCTGGCTCAAGCAGAGTTATGAACATGAAAGTGAAAGTGACCACACAGCAAACAATGGAAGGTGTTTGAAGAACATTCAATATAACATCTGCCTAGTGATTTTTCCCTACGACAACCTGCTGGCACTGACAGCGGAACCATCATTTTTTAGCTAACTGATATTTTATTTTGTTCCTATTATGCCCTTGATTTATTTTTTTGAAGTGTAGTAGAATCAGTGGTGTAATGTAAGGAAGTAATAATAGTAAAATTATTTTTGGGGGAGAATCTATACTTTAAGTTTTTATATTTTTGTCAACTTTCACTTTTACTCCACTATATTTCCTAATCAAAATGTGTACTTTTACTCCAATACATTTCCCCGAAGCATATTTGTTACTTACTACAAAATAAAGTCGGAAGAACACAGACTGTAAGAAAGCAGGTTTGACGAATCAGTGTTCTGGCGCTTGCAAATTAAGGTTGAACCCTGCTCATTCGTGCGTGTGCAAACAACCACGGTCGACTTCATTTTCCACTCAAGTCGAGGCTGGGGTGTCTGAAATACATAGCCTATATCATCTGCGCTAATAAAGTAAGTGTTGTTTTAATGATGTGCGATCTGACATTATCGTGTACATCACAAAAAACAAACAGAAACACACCAGAGAGTGCACATGCACTGTGTGATTGATCTATTCAAATTCATTTAGAATGGCCATAAAATTCAAGATAAGAGGCAAAATGCCTCTGTATGCCTTTTATATTTATATAATTGAATATAGATGATCTATATCACACTAAGAGTGCGTTTTTTTCTCTCTCCAGATATCAGCATGATAGAATGTAATATTGATGTTATACAAGTTTAATTAATTTAGTATTAAAGGTGACATATCATGAAAATCTGACTTTTCCAGGTTTTAAGTGCTATAATCAGGACCCCGGTGCATCTACCAACCAAGGAAACGTGAAAAAGATTAACCCAGTAACTAACCCAGCAAGCATCTGAGAAAACGAGCGCGTCTGATTTCTGCTCCCCTAGTGACCTTGCAAAGGGATCTCATTATAATATTACCACCTCTTTATCTGTAAGTTTACACCCATGGTGCCATTATTTTGTTTTCGCAAGTGACAACGGTGTACTAGTTCTTTCTGTGTGTGTGCTTCGGATGTGTACGCTCAGAAAATCCTATATCAGAATTTTAAACTCATATGGTTTAAAACGCATTATTTCAGCGCCATAAACATGATAATCAGAACCAAAACAGATGTTTTTAGCAGGTCCGAACTGTAATGGCGCAGCTCTAGTCTGGAAAAGGGGGCGGGGAGCAGCAGCTCATTTGCATTTAAAGAGACACGCACAAAAAACAGCATGTTTCTGCTTCCACTCAAAATAGGCATTTTCAAAATTATATAATAAATGATCTGTGGAGTATTTTGAGCTGAAACTTCACAGATACATTCTGGGGACACCTGAGACTTATATTACATATTGTAAAAAGGGACATAATATGTCTCCTTTAAGTTACTTACATTTTAGGCACAATATTGCCTGTTTTTGCTGAATTTCAACCAAGAAAATAGTTCCAAATGGCACTGTTTTGAGTCGTTGAGCAACACACAGGATGGCGTTTCTGAATGAATCTGTTTTCTGAAGAGTGATTCAGTGACTCCCTCATTAAAACAGTTCGCTACTGTTCATACTTAAGTACAATAAACATCAGACACTTTAAAACTTTTACTCAAGTGATATTCTAAATGGTGACTTTAACTTCTTCCAAAGTCATTTTTTGGTAAGATATCTATACGTTTACTTAAGTGTGGCTTTCAAGTACTTCATACCCCCCTGACTAGAATAGGATTTCATGCTTATTTTTTCCAAAAAAAAAATTTCACATCATTGCAGCACCTCTTTCCAGTCTGTCTCTAACAGATGTTTTGATGAAACCCCTCCATCTGAAATATGGAATGTGCTTTGATTGGTCAGCTGCCCCACTGTGTTGTGATTGGCGAACTGCTTCCAGTGTTCCAGAAATGTCATGCCTTTTATTTTTTTTGGAATGGGTTATAGTCTAATTAGGGTCCATGTAAAGCTACTGTGTCAGCACTAGGTGTCAGGCTTCAGTAACGTTGATCGATGCGTGAAATTCAACCTTCAAGTTCATATCAAAGTCACATTGGAAAAATCTGATTTGTTATCTACACACTGGTTTAAATTGCACCAAAAGGTTTACATTAGCAGCATCGATCAGAGGAGACGCCCTACCCCCATCAATCACTATTATATGACATCGATGATTATATGATATCAATTAGAGGATCACTCGAATATCCATTAGAGTGTGATCTTCTTTGCAGAGGCTGATTTTAATTATTTACAATCTATTTTATGCATTGCAAGAGTTTTTTTGTGTGTGTGTGTGTTCCAATATGAAAAAAGCATATAGCAGTAATCTTTAAATAGATTTGAACTGACCTGAATGAGCCGCTCTCATTTCTCACTGAATTTACTGTAGGCATCCTCCCACTCAAATAATCAAAAATGACTGTAAATGGGATCACTTGAAGGGGAAATTATTTTAATAGGTGGTCATGTGATTTCCCTTATGTAGTCATGGATCTTTCTCTGTTCTGGTTTCATGAATGTAGACTTTAGAGATCACATGAAATCATCAGCATCTCCCCAGGCAGCTGCAGACAGGGCAACTCGCCCTCAGGGAGCAGCGTTACCAGCATCAGTAGCTGTGAAACATTTGTTGGATCACATGAGGACTTGGCAACTGTTTTTTCAAAGTTAAAACACTCGCAGCCTTACCATATCACAGGGCATCAAATTCAGTCTATTAAATCTTTTGAATCTCAACATAAATGTTTTTTAGAATAAGATAAAAATAACTGCCAAACATACATTGATTTTGTTTCTCAAAACAATTGTTAAAACCGAAATAACTTATTTTTTATATTCCACAGGGCTTTTCACTGGTGCTCGCACATGCGCTTTTGACCAAAGCACCAAAGCAGATATGCAAAAGTTGACTGTAAGTGAACAAGAGTGAGCCACAAAGCCTGTAAATGACAGTATCCACCAGGGATGGGAGGGTTACTTTTAACATGTATTCTGTTACAGTTACAAATTACTTCATTAAAAAAAGTATTCACTAACGTAATTCAAGTACCACAATATAAAAGTAATGTAATCTGATTACTTTTGGATTACTTCACGTTACAAATGTAAATAAGTCATAAAAGCAATATCTAAGTACGTTTATTTAACTGACTTTATGATACAATTAAAACTAATAAAAACTATAGTAAAAACAATTTTAAACTATTAAAAAGCATGTCTTGTTTCACCATCTAGATATTACATACTAGATATGTACAATAATAAATATAGTTTATACACAACAATAAAACCTTTATACCATATACAGGTACATATTAGTCTATTTTAAACTAAGCCTACATGTCGAAACGCGTGTGAAATGCTATGATCTTTCTTTATCTCATTGACTGATCCGGGGTGTGGGGACTCTCATGTTCATTTCTACATTTTCAGGCTCATTCTCCGCTAGAAAACTTACAACTGAAGTCATGCACACCATGGAATTTTGAATCACTAACAAACACAAACTTTTAGCTAACATGATGATTTCCATGCTAGTCGGACTCGTACCTGCAAATGTGCAAGTTGGTTGAGTAGCCTTTGTTAAAGCTAGAGTCTTCATGCATAGCTTACGCTGTACAACTATGTTATTTCCTTTATCCTCTTTGAAAACAAAATAATTAACAAAAAATTTCCAGACATGAAAACATTTTTCACAGCAGGAAGCATCGTAATTAAT